ACAGCAACCAACCCAAAACAAATATGGAGGAAAAAGGAGGATAAACCCCAAAAACCGCCCAGGAAAGAAAGTGAGGAAACTATGGCGAAGCTGCTTTACAAGGCGGATCTTCCCCAGAGGCCCCTTTCCAGAGCTGTGACTTCCCAAAAGGCAGCCTCTAAAGGTGGCAGGTGAAGAAAAACACTGACAAAGGAGCCTCCATTGGGGATGGTCCTGAAGGGACGAGGGGTTTAGGATATCCGCCATACTGCCCTATAGCCACCAACGGCGGTTATATGTTGCGTTATGGGGGGGGGAGAGACTACGCCTGCGCATTAACCGCCGTTCCTTACATACCCATCCTCGCCTCGGCGTCCAAAAGCGAGACGCATGCGCCCTTCGCCGAGCAGCTTGACGGCCAGAGGAATGAGGCCGGGGAGGCGCGAGCCAATCCGTTTATGGAGGGGCGTGGCTTCCCCCTCCGCCTATTATGAGGTAGGAGGGGAGGTAGGAGGGGGCGTGGCTAGCTCCTCGGCCGTTGGTGACTGACTGAGGCGGTTGGAGCCACTCCGAGCCGGACAGCCTTTGACGGAGCCGGCGGCCGAGTCCGTTCCGGGGCGGGGAGAGGGGGGTGGCAGTGGCGTCCCGAAAAGAAGGAACCGCGCCCACCGACCGACCGTCGCGGCTAGACCCGCAACATGGTATCGTGCCTTGTCTCCCGCGCCGTTGTGTAAGTGGAGGAAAGGCGGAGGGGGCTCGGGAGGGAGCGAAACCGACCGCCTTTGTGTGTCGTCCCCCCCTCTTTCCCCGTTTGTCATGGGAGGCGCCCATCTTAGCTTTCCGAGCATTTCTGCGGCTGAGGGGACGCGGGCGCCACTGCGCATGCGCAGGCCAGGGAGTTCTTGCGGTCCTGAGTCGGGGCATCTTACCTGTGTGGACACGTCATCCCTCTCTCCCCTTTCCCCTCTTTTCTTTCTCTTTTCTTTTTGTTGGCTGCCTCCGAGTCGTAGCGACCCACTGGTTGAGGCTGCGCTGCAGAAATAAATCCGGTTTGACCCCGCTTTAACTGCCACGACTCCATCCTATGGAATTCTGGGAAGAGTAGATTTGTTGTGGCACCAGAGGTTTACTTTTTGTTGTTGTGAGCTGCCTTGGGGTCGACTCTGGGGACACCTCCGAGCCCTTCTTTTCCTTGACCAGACTTGGTCCTCCTTTTCCCAAGACATGTCCTACATTTCAACCTCCTGCCCAGGAGGAATTCCACACTGTCCTCCATTTTGAGCATGACCAAGAACCATGGATTTATAGGAGTATTCTTAGTTCCGCATTCTTGAACTTCCTACATTTTGCGGTGCTTATGAGATCTGGTCACTCTGCCCCTGTCCTCCACTGCTCAGGTCCTGGAAATTCATACCCCTGACCTCTCTGATTGAGTCTGGCCATCCGGTGTGCTGTCTTCCTCTCTCTTTACTTTTGTTGTTGTTGTGTGCCTTCAAATCATTTCTGACTTATGGAGACCCTATCATGGGGTTTTCTTGGCAAATTACTTCAGAGGGCATTTGCCATGGCTGTTCTCTGAGGCTGAGAGTGTGTGACTTGCCCAAAGTCACCCAGTGGGTTT